ATCAGGACAGGGAATTGAAAAATGCATTGGGGACCTAACAGAGTTTCTGCTACCTTAACTCTGGCCTTTTGCAGCAACCCCTTGAGCGAGGGCGGCTGTGGTTTCACAGAGGAGGAAAGTGGCCTGCATAAACCCCAAGGCAGAATTGGCTCTTCCGGCTGGCAAGCCTGCGCTCTTATGGTCTGCAGGCGCTTCTGGGGCCTCCCCGAGGTAGCAGGCAGCCCATCGCATCGAGGTTCAGGGGCTGCCACGACTTGCCTTTGCCCCGTTTCCCTGCAGCGCATAGCCTCCCGTCATTGGTTTGCTGTCACTCGGCCTCTTCCTTGTCCCTGGAGTCCCGCTGATGAGGTATGATGGCCGCAGGCACCTCTAGGTGGCGCTCTATTGGCTTTTTCCGGGGCGGCTGTAGACATCGGTTCCCCTTGTCAGCTACCCTCCCCCTCCCCTTCCTCCCCTTTTGGGGCGTCTGTAGTGCTCTTCTTGCTACATAACCACAACCCAGAGGGCTGAGGCGGGGTGACAGTGGGGAGGACAGGGGGCTGGGAGCGCCGCAGCAGCCTGCCCCTTCCGTGCAGGGTCCCCAACCAAAGGCCAGGCGCCAGCCCCTTCCCACCCTATGTATGTGCAGGAGCCACTCCCCTCGCGGTCTGGGAGGGCGCCTGGAGCTCGCCATCTGAGCACCTGCTAAGGCTGGATTACACTGTGCCCTCACCCACTCGCAGCATGACAGAAAGCCCAGCGCCCAGAAAGATGGGCGATTTTCTCAGGGTCACACGTCATGTGGGGTGCAGCCGGGAGAGCTGCTCCTCCCTCAGCCTGGGAGGTGGCCTCCGTGGGTAGGCCTTGGGTCCCCTAGAGAAAAAGTAGACAAGTGTCTTTGCCTAGGGCCTGCCATCTCCTGTGGCCCTAATCACCTCTCCCGTGGGATGGATCAAAGGCATGGGGGGGGGGGAGGACAAGGATGGGCGAGGGGGATATCTGGGGATGGCTCTGGCCATGGCTCCCCGTGGGAGTTGTGACAAGCCCTGCGCTGGAATCAGCCAGTGACCCAGGGCCACGGAAGGAAACTGGGTTTCTTATAAATAAGCAGAGAGAAACCCCAACCAACAAAGCTTGCAAAACCCTAGCTGTTCACCCTCCCTCTTCCTGATTTCATTTCGAACGGGGCGGGGGTGGAAAGAAAGGAATAGAGGAGAAGGAGCTGACAACACAGCTGTGGCTGGCCGCTTGCTCAAGGAGGACGAGCTCCCTGGGCCTGGCCGGCCCGAGGCTGAGGGTTTGAATCCTGCGGAAGGAGTGATTCTGCTCTGCCCAGGGTCGCAGGCTGGATCCCTGACCCTTGCTGCTGGCCACGCGATGGGGCTCGGCGCCTTCGCTCGCTGGAGGAGGGGCTGTTTTTAAGTAGAGGGTACAGCTGTTCCTAGGGTAGTTTCCATTTTGTTTGTGGTTGTGGGGGAGGGGTGCGGAGGGAGTGGGAAATGGCATGGAGGAAATTGTCACTTCCTTTCCAGAGAATTCCAGAAAGGTTTTCATGGAGGACGAGGTATTTCAGGAGTGAGAGCTGGCTTCAAGGGGACAAGGAACCCGGTGGCGGGGAGGGGGGAGGAGAAGTGCTTGTTGGGGGCCCGGCCGGCCATCTGGCCCCCATGTTTCCTGGCACGTGGGAAAATGCCACGGGTGTTACTAGCAGTTCTGTGAGAGCCCCTGGCCCAGCTGAACGGGTGTAGATTTACAGTCGCTCCATGGAGACTGTGGATGCAGCATTCACATGGGAGCCACTCGCTGTAAGGGAGGCCCAAGTGGGTGGGCCCGGGACACTGCTCCATGTGTTCGGGCGACAACCCCAGAAAGGGTCTGTACAATGCAGGGGTGGCCCACTTGGGGCGACAGCGGAGCAGCCCAACCACTTCTATATTGCTTTGGTTTGGAAACGCAATCGGCGCCGCAGAGAGCCAGAGGTGTGCATTTGTAGGCTGCGGCGTCCTCCACGGTACCCACTCACTCCTGCACAGCAGCAGCCAGGCGCCCTGCACTCCCACGAAGACTTTGCTTGGAGCCCCAACAGGGCAGGCGCTGGGAGCCAGGGATCCGGCAGGAAGGGAGCGAGCTCTTGCCACCTTGGGAGGCAGATGCGGCTGCAGCCAGCTGGGAGCCGTGCACTGGTGGGGCACGGAGGAGCGAGCGTCCAAGTTACTGCAGGTTCCCAAGGTACCTCGATTCTCTGCACCAAGTGCCTGTAGCCTTAGTGTTCCACTCACCGCCGCTGGGGCAGGGTCCTAGCCAAAGGGCTCTGGGGGACGCTAGAGGGAGGAGCCCACCTCCCCACACTGGTGTGGGCTTCTCCAGCCTCCAGCAGGGCGGGCCTTGGTGGTGGTGGCTTCTTCTTCGGTTTCAGGTTCCTGGGAGAGGGAGGTTATTTTGAGGGACTTGGGGCGGAGAGTGAGTGAACATGCAAATAAGCCTTTCTCTCCACCTCTCACTTTCAAATCCTCAAACATCTAGAAGGGGGAGGGGAAAGCCTTCAGGACTGGAAGGTTCCGTGGTGGGGAGGGAATTTTCTTAGCCTTGGCCAAGAGAGTAGGACAGCTACTTCCTCTCTGACTAGCCCCATGGCCCTGGTGCCAGGTCAGGGGGCAGATCACCAAGGCTGAGCCTTGGTGGCTAGGTACACCCTCTCAACCCCGGGCCTGCCAAACCCAGTCCTGAGCGTAGAGAACCAGGATGAACGCGATGGGACAGTCTTTTATTTCCCCCCTCCCTCCTCCTTCTGTTGATGGCCAAGGGGTCCACCCACTCCCATGCGGTGCCTTTGGCTGCCTCCCCTCCCTCAGCTCCCTAGCAGGGTGGCCCCTAGCAGGCTCACTCTGGGACCCCCCATCCCACCCTGCAGCATAGCCACTTTGAGTTAGCCTTGCCTTGAGCTTAGCGTTCCCCCTCAGGGCGGTACAGGCTGCCTGAGAGGAAGGAGGAACCAAAAATGAGCTTGCAACGTTGCTGCCCACACTGGGATGGCCCTTGGACGCAGTGGCTGTCACGCACATGCCCCCACACTTGGGACTCACGCACCCATCCTTCACACGCACACACACACACACACACACACCCCTCCCCTGTTGCACATCCGCAGCAAACACAGACAGAGCCCCTGTGTAAGTGACGGGGACAATGCAGAAGTGTACAGATGTGACCTCGGAGGGGACAACAGGGCGCTCTCAGCCTCGTGGAAGACAGAGAATGCTGACTGAGCACTAGCACCAGCCAATGATTCTCTCATCCGTGCATTCATTCCACAGACACCAATTGTCTGCTACACGCCAGGCGCCGTGCAAGGCGCTATGGCTTCATCAACAGTTGTCCCCATCTACAGGTGGTGGTGAGGGAGGTGTGCAGGCACACACACACACACACACACACACACCCATCCCCACCCCGGGGCACAGAGTACTGGCCAGGAACTTGCACGAATGACATACTCATCTGTGGAGAGAAGCCAAAGAGACACACAGACTTGCAAGGAAGGGCTACCGCGCATTGACCTCGGCGGGAGGGGGCAGACATGGGAGTTTCATATTTAGACAAAATGGGATTAGGTGAAAGTGATCACCTTTCATTTGATTCTACCCGAGAATGTTTCCCCAGGCCCGTGGGAGGGCCAGAGCTGCGGAATGCAGGCCTTGGGGTGCTGAGGCTAAGAGACAGACCGCCCAAGCATAAATGGCCTTGGGAGGCTTCGCGGGCCACAGGAGATGGGGTCACACGCAGGGTCAGCGGGGTGGGGGGTGGGGGAGGAGGGTAGAACCGTGGAACCAGGGCGGGGCCCGTGGAGTCCAGGTGCTTGCTCTCAGGCCTGCTGGGAGTGACTGAGCAGCGCCTCGTGTCTCATTCAGCCAGAGGCAAACTCAGACCTGACAGGAAGAGTGGAGTGGAGCCCTGGGACTTCTCCAGGTTTTTCGGTGGCGTGGGTGGCAAGGTGTGGGAGTGGGGGAGGGGGCAGGGCAAGGCTGGGGCCGGCCCTGTGGGCTAACGGAAAGGAAGTGGGAGAGGCCTAGGTGTCTCCTGGCGGGGCCAGCGGTCATCAGGGAGGTCACCCGTGGGCCCCCTCCCTTTCCTCTCCTTTGCCCCTCTCTCAAGTTCCCCATTTTTTCTGGACCAGGGGAAGGACTGGCCATTCTGAAGGTGGGGCTGTGTGGACCTAGGCTGTCCACAGACACGTACGCACTCAAAGCAGAAGCCCGGAGGTGGAGGGGGGAGGGGGGAGTCAAAGCCTAGGTGCCTGGAAGGCAGAGGAGCCGCACAGGCCTGCTGCAGGGAGGTCAGGTCAGCCAAGAGGGGCACGGGCGGGGCGGGACCCTTGATGAGTCACAGCGCAGCCGCAGGGAACCTGGGTGTGGCGCGCGGCCCGGGTGCCCGCTGGTGGGGACGGCGAGATTGCATGTGGGCTGCAGCAGACAGCCAAGAGTTCCTGGAAAAGGGGCCTGGCAGCGCCGCCGGCCTGGAGGCTGCGGGAAGGTTCCGCGGCCCTTCCCCCCAGGCCGGGGCTCTCCTCACAAGTTCCCAGGGTGACAATTCAGTCTTGAAACTGAAAGCACAGCCGCACCGTGCACACAAACCCACACCCCACACTGAGGCTGCCCGCTCTGGCGGCCCGTGGGGGCGGGGTGCACGCAGGGCACATGGCCCACCCGTCCCTCTGTCTCCAGGCTCTCTGGAGGCGTGGCCCGGCTGGTGATGGGCCACAGTGAGACATGGCCTTCTAATGCACTCTGCCCCTCCCAGCCTATGCCCCCCACACACTCCAAGGCAGGACGAGCACCCTGTCCACCCTACCATCTGCTCCCCCCACCCCCATGGTGCTTTCCCAAGCCTAGGGAATCAGATGTCGCCTGTGGCTGTGTCTCAGGCCTTGGCAGGACACCGCCCCTCGGGTTTGTCAACTGTCCTGGCAGCAGAGGTCAAGGGAGGTGACTTTCTCATTGCCCCATCTCTCCCTTGGTCCCTAGGGTGCTCCTGTGGTTGGCCCGGCCCACAATGCAGCTTTGAGCCTGGCCTAGGCCACCACGCACTGTAGCTGTCTACCCCTCCTATCTTACCAGAGGCTCCGAGGCACCTCAACAGCATCGCTGCACCCAGGGGGCCCTGTGGACCCTGCTGCCAGCTCTGTGACAAGACAGCATGGCTATCACCTTGCAGCCTAGCGACCTGGTCTTCGAGTTTGCAAGCAACGGGATGGATGACATCCACCAGGTATGGCCTCAGAGAGCTGATGCAGGGAAGCAGGCCCTGAGCAAGCACCTAGCATGTTCGGGGCGCTGGGCCTGCTTGCCATCCAGCCTGTGTGCCAGCTAGTCACTCACGGGGCCAGTCAGCGGTCATCAGGCTCCGCCAGGAAATGCAGGACGTGGACTGAACGGCGCAGGTGCTTGCTGACCGCCGTATGTGTTTCCAGCCGCTTCCCTTCACCTCCAGTGTCACAGTGAGAAAGTTGTGGAGCACCCACATGGCAAGAGGGAGCACTGTCCTGGGCCTGCAGGGTGCCAGCCAAGGCCAGCATCTTCAGACTCCAGGTTGATGGGCCCCGCCACTGCCGTCTTTGTGGCCTCAATCTGAGGATTCTGGATAAATGTCCAATAGGATCTTTTGTGGAGGGTGGGTGTGGAAAAATAGGGTGGGATTCTCACGCTCAGGTCCCCGCTACTCCATACCCTGCCTACCTTACCCCCGGAGCTAAGAGGCGGCTAGAATGGATCCACTCTTCCTCCTTCCACAAAATGGAGAAAGAAAAGGCAGGCAGGTCTGGTGGAAGGAAGGAATGGAGGATCAGGAGTCAGGAGCCCTGGACCACTCCTGCCCGCTACCTTGATTTACTGCTACCTTCCCATCTTTGCTTCGAGAAGAGTATCCCTAAAGGCATTCCAGCCTAACTCGGATGCTCTCTGTCCTAAATCCTTGTGAGCATAGAAAACTGACCATCTCTCATGGCCTACCAAAGGCTGCCCCCTAGCGGGCTCTGTGTGCATTGTACTTTCTGTCCAGCTCCTTACCTGAAGTTGCTGGATTTTATTGAACGGCCTTGGGGAGCCTAGCTTGGTGGAAGGCAGCAAATGAGGAGAAGGGAAGAAAAAGCTAACCTGCCATGGGTTCCTATGCTACCTGTCATTTTTAACGTGTTTCTAGTTGGCCTAACACCTGTTTTTTGTTCTTCATAGAAGCTATCCTTACCTCCCAACCTACCCCTGCCCTCAGCAGGCAGCCTCTCCAAGGCTCAAAGCCAAGTATGCCCTCATTTTTAAAAGTTGTTTATTTGTTCGAAAGGCAGAGCGTGAGAGAAAGATCTAGATCTTCCAGCCACTGGTTCACTCCCCAGATAGCCACAATGGCCAGGGCTGGGCCAGGCTGACGTCAGGAGCCCAGAGCTCCATCAGGATCTCCCATGAGGGAGCAGGGGCCTGAGTACTGAGGCCATCCTCTGATGCTTTTCCAGGCACCTCAGCAGGGAGCTGGATCAGAAGCGGAGCAGCTAGGACTCAAACTGGCACTCTGATATGGGGTGCTGGTGTTGCAGCCAGCAGCTTAACTCACTGTGTCACAATGCTGGCCCTTATCTTTAATCTTTAAAAATATTTTGCTTCTACATCTTGTTTTGCTCAAGATTTGTTTATTTGGAGCTGGCGCTGTGGCGTAGTAGGTTAAGCCTCTGCCTGTGGCGCCGGCATCCCACGTGGGAGCTGATTTGTATCTCAGCTGCTCCTCTTCTGATCCAGCTCTGTGTTATGGCCTGGAAAGCAGTGGAGGATGGCCCAAGTGCTTGGCCCCTGCATCTGCGTGGGAGATCAGGAAGAAGCTCCTGGCTCCTGGTTCTTGGCTTTGGATCACTTCAGCTCTGGGCTGTTGTGACCATTTGGGGAGTGAACCAGTGGATGGAAAACCTTTCTCTCTGTCTGTAACTCTACCACTCAAATAAATGAAAATAAATAAAATATTTGTTTATTTGAAAAGGAGAGAGAGAGAAAGAGAGAGAGAGAGAGAGAGAGAGAGAGAGAGAGAGAGGTTCCATCCCCATCAACAACCAGGGCTAGACCAGGCTGGAGCCTGGAGCAAAAAAACTCCATCCAGGTCTCCACGTGGGTGCAGAGGACCAAGCACTGGGCCATCTTCTGCTGCCTCCCAGCTGTATTAACAGGGAACTGGATCAGAAACAGAGCAGCCGAGACATGAACGGGCACTCTGATATGGGATGTCGGTGTTGCAAACCGCGGCTTAACCTGCTGGCTGTGCCACAAAGCCACTCTCTCCCCTTTTACTACCTCTTGTTCTGATTTCCTTCTCGCCGGCCTAAGAGAAGGCAATGTCCTCTTCCTTCCAAGGGTAGCTGCCTACCCATGGACTTCATCTGTTCTCTCTTGCCTCTTCTATGACCCCAAACCATCAATTCCCTCTCCCCGCCAACGCCATATCTTTCAGACCTCACAGATCTTACTCCCCAACCCAGAACATCTTTGCAGTCTGGTCAATCCTAAAAGAAGCTCTCCAGTCCCATCTGCCTCCCTTTGCCCTGGCACTTCAAAATACAGGTTGAGCAGCCCTCATCTGGAAATCTGAAATCCTAAACGCTCTGACAATGCACACAAGAAGTTTCAGATTTCAGATTATTGGGTTAGGGATACTCAACTGATAAAGACAACCAAATATTCTAAAATCTTATAAACCTCTCGGGGCAGGCACTGTGTGCAGTGGGTTAAGCCACCGCCTCTAATCCCAGCATCCCATATGGGCTCCGGTTCAAGTCCCGCCTGCTCCACTTCTAATCCATCTCCCTGCTAATGCACCTGGGAAAGCAGTAGAAGATGGCCCAAGTGCTTGGGCCCCTGCACCCCCGTGGGAGACCCAGAATGAGTTTCAGGCTTCTGGATTCAGCCTGGCCCAACTCTGGCCATTGTGTCCATTTGGGAAGTGACCAGAAGATAGAGTATCTTTTTTTTTTTCCTGTTTTTCCTTCTCTGTTGCCCTACCTTCCAAAGAACCAAGTAAATCAGTCTTCGATAATAACAGTAACGCTTGCCCTTGGGGCAAGCATCGTGTTTGTGGATTAAGACATCACCTGTGGCTCCTGTAGCCCATATCAGAGTGCCTGGTTTGAGTCCTGCTACCCTGCTTTCAAGGCAGCCTCATGCCAATGCATCATGGGAGGCAGTGGATGATCATCCACGTTCTTGGGGCCCTGCCACTCACGTGGGAGACCTGGGTGTGGAGTTCCTGGCTCCTGACGTCAGCCTGGCCTGGCCCTGGCTGCTGCAGCCATTTGGGGGAGTGTGCTCTCTCTTCTTCCCCCCCTCCTCACTCACTAGGCCTTTCAAGTAGATGAAAATACATGAAATAAGCATTCCCAAATGCTCACCCTTGGTTAAGTGCAGATGGCACTGAGCTAACTCATCTGTATTCATCAAGAACCCCTCAAAGCCTCCCCCCAGCGAGGATGAGCCCATCACCAAGAACAGCCCTCGAGGGCCCCAAAGATTGGGAATTGCGTAAGGGGCCAGATGCTGGCAGGGAGGGCTTCCTGGAAGGGGCAGGCGGAGCCTCGTGAGCTATCTTCTCCACAGCTGGAAGATCCCTCAGTGTTCCCAGCTGTGATCGTGGAGCAGGTGCCCTACCCCGAGTTACTGCATCTGTACTCAGGACTGGAGCTGGACGACGTTCACAACGGCATCATAACGGATGGGACCTTGTGCATGGCGCAGGATCAGATCCTGGAGGGCAGTTTTTTGCTGGCAGGTCTGTTCCCCGACTGGGCGCAGGTGTGGTGCGGAAAGGGGGTGTGCCTTTAGGGCACACAGCTCACGGCGTCTGTTAGCAACGCCACGTGGAATGGACAAGGTCCCCAGTGAAAGGTAGTGTTGTTCCACCCAGGAGCAAACCATCTCAGAGGAGTCAGGATCTTTCTAGACGGGGTGGGATCAGGAGCGGGTGGAGCGCTCGGGCTGGCAGCGCGCTGGGTCCTTCCCAGGCGTCTCCTATGTCGCTGTGGCTCCTGTCCTTTCCACTGCCTCGGCTCCCAGGCTGCCCTGATTCTAGCTCGCCCTCCCCCTCCCCCTCCCCCTCCCCCTCCACCCCCGCCCTGCGCACTGAGGGAACTGTTCTTTTCTCCCCACATCCCCATGGAACTGGAACCAGATGACAACGAGGCCACTTCCCATACCATGTCAACCGCCGAAGTCTTGCTCAATGTGGAATCTCCCAGCAACGTCCTGGATGAGAAGCAGATCTGTAAGTTTGAACCCTTGTGCCTTAAGGCAACGACAACAAAGATTCCTTTTGAAAATATCAAATCCAAGCTTGCGTGCTCAGGCACGTGCACACACAGGCCTGTATACCCACACCCACCGATACACCAGGGGTCTTCCAAAAATTCATGGAACATGCCGATCGTGGAAAACCGATGCGTGGATTTCAATTGTTTGGTACCAAGAAGAGCTTATCTTTTAATTCCGTTGCCCATGGACTTTCTGAAGCGCTGTCACTCACGTGAACGTAGTTGACTGGCACAGATGAGAAAAAGATGGCCAGGGTGAGTTTTTTCCTTTTAGCTTCCTCCCAGTTTTTTTTTAAAGGATTTATTTATTTGGAAGGCAGAGTTAGAGAGAGGCAGAGGCAGAGAGAGAGAGGTCTTCCATCACTGGTTCACTCCCCAATTGGCCGCAATGGCCGGAGCTGTGCCAATCCGAAGCCAAGAGCCAGGAGCTTCTTCTGGGTCTCCAACATGGGTGCAGGGGCCCAAGCAGTTGGGCCATCTTCTACTGCTTTCCCAGGCCACAGCAGAGAGCTAGATCAGAAGTGCAGCAGCCGGGACTCGAACTGGCACTCTTATGGGATGCTGGCACTGCAGGCAGCGGCTTTACCTGCTATGCCACAGTGCTGCCCCCACTCCGATTTTTAAATTGTGATAAAATCCACATGACACGAAATTGACCACCTTAACCATTTTCCATTGTGCTGTCCGGTGGTCTCACATGCCTTCTCATTGTTCTACAGCCACTGTCGCCACCATCCATCTTCAGGCCTCTTATCATTGTGCAAAACCACGGATGCCTCCCCCACCCCCCCACCCCCCCCACCCTCACCCCCGGTGAAACAGTCCTTCCCCCTAGGAGCCTGCAGTGTACTTTGTGTCTCCAACAACCTTGCTTGTGTGGCTCCCACGCGGAAGCAGAGTGCCACGAGTCCTTGTCTCCGGGGGCCTGGATTCCTCCAGGGCGCCCCGTGTCCGTGCACATCCCAGCTGGGCCCCCTCTGCGCCCTTGCTGGGCTCCCAGAGGACTAAAGACGGCAGCCCGGGATGGAATTAGACAAGGACCAGGCTTTGATGTCTAAGGCGTGGCTGAATCCGGGTGGCCCTATAACCCTGGATGCCACCTGCAGGTGCTGCCTCGCCTTCCCAGGTGTAGCCTGTGTCTGGGGCTGCAGGGATCAGCAGCCGGGCCCTCCCGCGGAGCCTGCGTTGCGGCTGCGCACTGAGCCCCCCCACCGCCACAGCTGTTTCTTCTCGCAGTCAGCACCTCCGAAGTGCTCCCAGACGCAGAGCCTGCTCCAGCTGCTCCTCTGCCCAACTACCTGTTTCCTGCCTCTGAGCCTGATACCCACCACGGAGTGGGTGACACTAGTGACCAGGAGGGACTCTCGCTGGACAAGCTCCCCAGAGATGAAAGTGCCAAGAAGACTGGGAAATCAAAGAAGAGAAGTAAGGGCGGAGTGTGTGTGTGTGTGTGTGTGTGTGTGTGCACGCGCGCGCACGCGTACACAGGCATGTCTTCAATGGGGTAGGTGGCAGGGGCCAGGGGCCTGAGGCTCACAACGCACTAAGACAGCTTTCTGGTGTGGCAGGCATGGACGGAAATAGCCTGCCATTGCCCACGTACTCCTGTCTGCCTTGTGTCTACAGAAAGTTCCAGAAAGGTCCCGGATGAGCGGAATCTTTTTTTTTTTTTTAAGATTTATTTATTTATTTTATTTGAGAGCTAGAGTTACAGACATTGAGAGGGAGAGGGAGAGAGAGAGAGAGAGAGAGGTCTTCCATCAGCTGGTTCACCCTCCAGATGGCCACAATGGCCGGAGCTGCTCCGATGCAAAGCCAGGAGCCAGGAGCTTCTTCTGGGCCTCTCTCATGGGTGAAGGGGCCCAAGGAGTTGGACCATCCTCCACTGCTATCGCAGGCCATAGCAGAGAGCTGGATCAGAAGAGGAGCAGCTGGGACTAGAACCAGCGCCCAAATGGGACGTGGGCGCCCCAAGCCAGGGTTTTAACCTGCTGCGCCACAGTGCCGGCCACCTCAGCAGAATCTTAAGCTGCACGTTCTGATGGCAAGCTTGGCCCTCTAGCCAGTTTCTGGCCCTCTGGGGCCTGCACACGGACAAAGCATGCTGTGTGCTTTATCAAATGGGGCGGGGAGGGCTGGGGCTGGAGGCAATGACTTCGGTCCTCCTGGGCGGCCCTTGTGCGTGCTGCCCTGGGCCTGCTCCAGGGCCCTCTGGCACAGGAGTCTGTCCTCACGTGGTCACCTCAGCCCCAGCCTCATCCTGCTCTCCTGCCTCTCCTCCCAGTCCGGAAGACAAAGGGCAACCGAAGTACCTCTCCGGTCACCGACCCCAGCGTCCCCATCCGCAAGAAATCAAAGGATGGCAAAGGTAGGGCAGGGAGCCAAGTGAGGTGGGCAGGGTGTGCCCGGGGCTGCCCCTGACGCCCTGCCCCCCAACCGGTCCTCTGCAGGCAGCAGCGTCTACCTGTGGGAGTTCCTGCTGGCGCTTTTGCAAGACAGAAACACCTGTCCCAAGTACATCAAGTGGACCCAGCGGGAGAAAGGCATCTTTAAGCTGGTGGACTCCAAAGCTGTGTCCAAACTGTGGGGGAAGCAGAAAAACAAGCCGGACATGAACTACGAGACGATGGGGCGGGCACTGAGGTAAGGCGCGCTCCCCCAAGCCCCGCCCCCCCAGGAACCGCCCCCTCTTCCTCTTGTACCTCTGTCCTCATCTCTCCTGTGTCTTTAGTAGAAGAAAAGCGTGGGACCCTGTCCCTAAGAAGCGGTTTCTCTACCTTCTACCCAGCCAGCTTCAACCTCAGGCTGGCCCTGTCCTGGAGGGCAGAGGGTGGGCAAGACAGAGAGGAAAGCCCCCCCCCCCCCCCCCGTGACTCAGGCCCTGGCAGCTGAAGCCCCTCTCCCTGCTCCTGGTGCTCAGATATTACTACCAGAGAGGCATCCTGGCCAAAGTGGAAGGGCAGAGGCTGGTGTACCAGTTTAAGGAGATGCCCAAGGATCTGGTGGTGATCGAGGACGAGGAAGAGAGGAGTGAGGCCGCAGCAGCGCCCCCTCCGGCCTCGGCGTCCTGCGCCAGCACAGCCCGCCGGGTCAGCTCCAGGGTCTCGGCCAGGGCCGCCCCCCATGGCAAGGCCACTTCTTCTTGGGAGAAGCCGAAGATTCAGAACGTTGGCCTGCAGCCATCTTCGAGCCTGGAACTCGGACTGTCTGTCGGTGAAGAGATCCCCACTACCTCCACCCTCCTCGTGTCTGTGCCGGAGAACCAGGCCAAGCTCACCATAGCCAGCAGGTGAGGGCGCCAAGGCCGCTGCAAGCCTGCCGCCGTGGGTCTCTTGGGGACTTCTCCGGAGGCAGGAGACGGGGGTAGGGCGGAACAGAAGTCTCCACTTGAGGGCTTCCTAGCACTGTGTGCTGGTGTCTCTAGGTCTCAGGTTCTCCTTCCTTTTCTTATGATTTATTATTTATATGAAAGAGTTACACAGAGGAGGAGAGAGAGGTCTTCCATCAGCTAGTTCACTCCCAAATTGGCCATAATGGCTGGAGCTGCACCGATCCAAAGCCAGGAGCCAGGAGCTTCCTCCGGGTCTCCCACGCAGGTGCAAGGGCCCAAGGACTTGGGCCATCTTCTACTGCTTTCCCAGGCCATGGCAGAGAGCTGGATCAGAAGTGGAGCAGCCGGGACTTGAACCGGCGCCCATATGAGATGCCAGCACTGCAGGCGGCAGCTTTACCTGCTACGCCACAGCGCTGGCCCCTGAGATTCTTCTTATCCAATCTGTGCACTGTTTCAGCGAATCTGATGCCATGCCACATGCACCTTGCAATGCTAAGTACTCACCGAACGCTAAAAAGCAAACACGGGCAGCTCTGCTCCCCGCCTGCCCTCCACCTGACGCGACTCCGTTTTCTGTTTCTTCTCAGTTCTTCTTCAGTGCCAAGCAACATCCACCTAGGAGTGGCCCCTGTGGGGTCGGCCTCGGCCTTGACCCTGCAAACCATCCCGCTGACCACAGTGCTGAGCAACGGGCCTCCTGCCAGTACTACTGCCTCCACTCAGCTCGTCCTCCAGAGCGTTCCTCCTGCCTCCACGTTCAAGGACACCTTCACCCTGCAGGCCTCTTTCCCCCTGAATGCCACTTTCCAGGAGAACCAGGTGGCGGCACCAGGGACGCCGCTGATTCTCAGCGGGCTGCCCCAGCTCCTGGCCGGGGCCAACCGTCCCGCCAACCTGGCACCCCCCTCGACCTCAGGTGCTAGCTCAGCAGGGCCCAGCCCCCAGCCCCCCGGGACTGTCATCGCTGCCTTCATCAGGACTTCCGGTGCCACAGCAGTCCCTGGGGTCAAGGACGGGCCGCTGAGGTCCTCCTCATACGTGCAGGGCGCGGTGACCGGGGCCCCCATGGAGGGGCTGCTGGTCCCGGAAGAGACCCTGAGGGAGCTCCTGAGAGATCAAGCTCATCTTCAGCCACTTCCAACCCAGGCGGGCTCAAGGGCTTCCCACAACCCAAGCCTTCTGGGGAGCCAGACTTTCTCTCCTCCCAGCCGCCCCTCTGTTGGGCTGACCCCGGTGGCTGAACTTGAGCTCGCCTCAGGCTCAGGGTCCGTCTTTATGGCTGAGCCTAGTGTGACCGCATCTGGGAACCTGCTGACCAGATCCCCAACTCCGGTCCCCTTCTCGCCATTCAACCCCACCTCCCTCATTAAGATGGAGTCCCGTGACATATAAAGCGAGGGGTCAGGAGAGGCGTGGTCCAGCAGCACCGTGGGATGGGCTGACTTTAGTAGCACACCTGCCCTTACATTTCAGTAGGATTCAATCCACCCGGCCCCAGCCCCCTAGCCCTGCCTGGTTATCCCGGTGGCCAAGCTGTGCCCAGTTGGAGCATCCCTGGCGTCAGACCATGGCATTCAAGAGCACTAGGGGGCATGTTCTTGGCAGGAAAATGGGCTGCCTTAGTGATGGTAGGAAAAAAAAAAACCCTGCTCCAGGGAGCTTGTGGTCAGGGATGGGACACAGGTATTCTGAGCCCTTCCGTCTGGCTGCATCTCTCGTCTGTATTCCCTACGCAGGGAATGCACCCCATATGTGAATCCCTCTGGATGTTTTTGTGTGCACTTACCTTGTGGGTTTGTATCTTAGTTTTTGGGGGGAGAGGACAGGGGCATAGCCGTGAGCTCTTGGCTTCAGGGGTGTGTGTGAATGTGTGTGGGTATGTGGTGTGTGTCCCTCCGTGGGCCAGCCACAGAGACGGGGACTTGTGTGTTAAGGGAAAGCATTCTCGAATTTACGTTATGTAAGCCAAGATGCAGGCACTCTGAGACTAGGCGCTGGACAACGGATGTCACAGAGCTGGTCCAGGATAAAGGGAGCCTCAGGCTGTGTGCCCCGGGGAGGATGCACTCCTAGGGGGTGCTAGGGCTGAGTGAGATGAAACCACCTAGGGAGGAAGACAGCTTAGCCTTAGGAACCCACTGCACAGGCCAGACCGAGGCACTCTGTGTCTTTGCCTCACGGCCCACCACT